GTATTTACATAGACTCTAAGAGTGTGCATCAGGGAGATATGCAATATGTATGCCATATTAATAATAGAAGTTGCATGCCCTTAACTTTATCAACACCTGTTTTACAAAAAATTCATGTTCTGGTTTTATGTTACATTTGATTAGTGGTAACAGCATCAAACGTAAAGTTCAATAGGAAGACTTTCAACAAAAGTTCATCAACTCACAACACAATTTACTAAAAGCATGTATTTACAGAAAATGTAGGAAAAAATTACTTGTGGCAATAGAGAATCAAAATACCTTGTGCTCGACCCCTAAAGGTCACACTGCCTGGCATTTAACAGGGGTAACCCAAAGGTCACACATCCTGGCATTTAACAGGGGTAACCTCCTATAGATATAAAGGTCACATATCCTGGCACTTTTCAGGGGTAACCTAAAGATCACACATCCTGGGACTTCTCTGGAGTAACCTAAAGGTCACATATCCTGGAATTTTCCAGGGGTCACTTCATAAAGGTCATACAATCTGGCACTTTCTGGGGGTATTCTCCCCTCACAACAATATACCTCATATACAACAATGTCCACTGCTTGCATATGAAAAATATTTGAGAAATACAGTGAACTCTTTGTGTGCACCGAGTTGTGCGACCCTTAAAGAGACCGTGAGGGAAAAGTAAATGAAGTTATTTGTGCATCAACATGTATCTGGTTTAACATTCATTGACTCATGCAACAGACAATAGAGTTGGTATGCCAGGTTTGTACTACACATTCAAATTCTATAAAAAAAAAACGTTTCCACATGTTTTTGTTGCATAGGACCCATATCGAACACAACAAAATGCATCTACTGTGCCACTTTAAATTAAAACCCTGTTTTGCAATAATTGATTTTGTCAATATAGAACATGTACGCCAAAAATATAAAATACATTTCTTTACACAACTACAACTCTAGAAAGTACTCAATTAATTTCAGGAACACCTAAAAAATGAGTCATTGAACACAACCACCATCATTCGAGATGTATTCATAATCTGTGTAATACTAAACTATTCTCCATACATTTTAAAGCAAATATTTGCTAATATTTAAATAAGAGTTTTAAGGTAGCGAGACTATTATTTGTGTTGAAAATTACGATTTTCACATTTATTTATTAATTGATGAAATGCACTATAAACTTTCATGTGATAAAGTCAACATAACATAGAATGTCATGTAAGTTGGTTAAAAGTAGATTTTCTGAAGGGAAGCAAGGCAGCCTCAGTAGTGTTTTCCAAAATCAACAACACAGGTTTAATCTGTGTGCCTATAAGTTTCAAAGATAAACTCAAGACAAAGCAATGTTAGGATGTGTTATCAGTAGCTATCTGACACACAATGAGTGTTCCAAACATTTGAGTGGTTGTC